CAAAGTGCAGCTAAAGGAACTGGAGAAAGAGTACGCAGCCAACAAATTCATCACGAAAGACAAGAGGAGAAAGATTTCTGCGGTAACCAACTTGTCCGAGAGGCAGATCACAATCTGGTTTCAGAACAGGAGGGTAAAGGAAAAGAAATTTGTTGCCAAAGTTAAGAACAGCGCTCCATAATGGGAATTTGAGCAACAAGACATTTTTTTTTTATCTGTGACTCAGATTAAAGAAAAAAGTCGACTTGACTTTTACTGGGATTGTTTGTGTTCTTTTGCCTGCGTATTTGCATCGCGAACTAATAAAAGGATGAACTAGGATAGGACAACATAAAGAATAAAAAGACTATATCCCTGTAAAAATGCCTGCCAAAATATGCCTCTGTGGGATTTTACATACAAGCTAAATGTTAGAATATTAGGCATGTCGATGTTGTTACTGCAGTAGAAATGTAGGTTATTAAACTATATACCCATTAATATTCTTTATAACATACTTATATGACATATATTAAATGTATATGTATATATACAATTAAAAATCACGTTAATCTTCAAAGTAATTTACTGCCTTAGCTAATTTTCATAATTAACTCATTTGTAAGTTGTGCTAGTGGATATGCCAAGTGTTGTCCCGTAAACGTCCCGTTTACATTCATGTTAATTTCAAACAAATCACAGTCTTGCTAGGGTGCTTAAACAGTCCTGTCAAGTTGTCGAGTTGCAACGAGTTTATGAGCACTTCTATGTTTTTTTTTTTTTTAATCTTTTTTTGACAATCCTAGACACGGGACTTTCTTTTCTTTATGATACACCATATTGTAAATATGATGCAACATATTTACAATTGATTTGGACCAAACATTTAAAATAAAAAAAATATCATGCACGTATCATGTGTAAACGTATCATGCTTTGGAATGCGTAAATAAAAAAGAAAAGATAAGAACTGATATATAGGAATCAAGAACTGAGTTTTTCCTTGTCCTGCTGGGGGTGGGGAGCGAGATGTTTTGATGGTCGCAGAAGGGGGAAGGAGAGAGCGACTTGTAGACAGAGCCACTAAATCAGCTCTTAACCTTGACCTTGGAAATCACATGTGCTTAAGATAATGTGGATTTTCCCTTCACAAAAGCACCAATATTTAGCATTAATATAAGTCACACAAGTCACTGGCACTCACATCTATATCGACCGTTTTTTGCCGCAAGTCTGTTCTTGTTGAAAAGCAATTTTAATACATTGTTCTTTCACGAAATAAAATGCTCCTAGTTTTGTTCGTGGCTGTAGAAGGTCGTAGCATTTAAGATCACACCTGACTTTTTTGTTTGCAGATACATAACCATAAATATCCTCCTTCTGTTTATCGCATTCAAAGATTTATATACGATCATCTGTTGTACACTCTTCTGTCATTTGCATCACTGTTCATGTCTAAACTGTTTAACTGGATAACGATTAAGAGTAGTGGCGCACTGCTTTTGCACTCTGCTGGGTTAGTGGTGTGTTACTGGTGGATCCCTCTTTCACTTATTTCATGTGCTTTTATTCGCTCTGCATCTACTGTGCACGGGTTCTACACAGAATCTGCTAAGGATTGTAACAATCTATTCACATCAACTGCAAGAATTATGCAGTTTGTCCCTAAGGGAAATCCTGTAAGTGAACAGACACCTTATATAATGGTCAGTATAATCATGTGACTTGTTTGTAAAGACTTTGAAAATGACTTGTTTGGAAAGACATTAGAAGTCAGGGTTTGTAGACAAATTTAACAGCATAAGCTTTTGTTAACACTTGTCAGTCATCTCCAGATTCGAATGCAGTGTTTCTCAAAAAGAGCTCCATGAAGACTAAATGCTCACCAGAAACTGTAATAGTTTCTAGGCGGTATGAAATGTTTTCATATCATTTACATTAGAATTAGCAACAGACTGTACAGACTATAAGAGTTAAATAAGAAAAAATACTTGAAGGAACTCAGATGTTATGAATTGAACAAGAACAACAAGAACAACAACAACACTAATGCTAATACTACTACTACTACTACTAATAATAATAATAATAATAATTTGGTAGCACATAAGGTCCACCAATAAGCAATATTTTCATACTTAACTAATACTTTCATAGTGATGAATTAATACATTATCCTTATCCTTCCCGCATCAAGAAATAATTATGCGTATATGTTAACAGCCAATTGAGTCATATGAATATTCATTAATAATGGTAACAGTTAATTATTAACATTTTGTTAACTCATTCTGTTAATTACTATTATGACTAAGGCATTATTAATAAATAGCATTTACACTGTCTTTTTGTACACAATGTAGGTTAACCAATTTTTTTTTGTCCGTGGAACAATTAACAATTCTCAATGCAAAAGCCAACACCACTAACCAGTGACTCTGAGATGACATTATCCAAATCAAATCACATTTACACACATGTGTACCGCAAAACAAGTACTCAAAGTGCCTCAGACTTACTTTATAGCCTATAATTTGAGTTAACCTGGACTGAAAACAGACTAAACAGACTTTTCAAAATGTAAATGATCTTTATTAATACGCAAGTCATGACATCAATTAACAGAATGAGTTAACAAGATGTTAATGCTTTCCTATTACGTTTATTAATGGTTATTCATATATTAATGGTTACACATCTCATTTGGCTGTAAATGTATACAATTCATTATTTTCTGGCGCACTAATCATAGCATATTTTAATTCATAATTATGTACGCATTAGTTAAATAAAGTGTTCCTAATAATTCCTAATTATAGTTAAATTATAGTTAAATTATAGTTCCTAATAGTTCCTAATAATTTTCCACACAAAGATACTAAAATAGACCTGCTTTTACCCACAATCAGACTACAGAATGCAATATAAAATACTCAGAACCTTCTAGTTAACACTGAACCTGACGAAACAACTTTAACAAATGGTGCTTCTGTTGTGTTTACACGGGGATTTAACGATGGTTCCTGTCCTTCCTAATACTCAGATATCACAGAAATCTGGGGGCAACATAAAGTTATAATTCCACCGAGCAACATATATTTCAATGTTTTTGAGGTCGATCAAATAAGTGCATGCATGGACTTACAGGGAAAACATAGCAAGATTCAATTCGACACTGGTCGTCCTTCTTCAGATGATAACTAACCTGGGGTGAGTTTCCCGATGACGATGAATCTACGAACAACTTAAAAAAAGACGAGCTCGTTTTGCGGGTGTTTTCCCGAAAGCCTTCGTTCTCAGATATTTAACAAACGAGATAGTTCTTTGTTGGCTCCGCCCAGTCCAAGTCTGGAGAAAAGCCGCACGAGTCACCACTCAAACAATCGATTCACAGTCCGGAGGTAAATTTAATAAATAAATCAACGACTTAAACAGCAAAAATAAACGCAGAGAGACAGAATTTATAAATAGAGGACGATAGACGCAAGCGTATTCAACAATTCACTGAGCTTCACTGGAAAAAAAAGGGAATATGTGTTCGGTGAGATTTAAGAGGAACTATAATGTACAGTTTACAAAAAAATGCTACTCATCAAAACGTGATTTCACGGCTTTTAAGACGAAATTTAATTTAAAGGAAAATCTAATCTACGCTGAAACAAATGGAATATGCGGTCGGTCAGATTTAAGAGAACATTATGTATAGTTTCCATAAAAATATAAAGTTTCTCATCAAAACCTGTCACACTTATTCTGCATAACTATGCGCATTTTTGTACAGAAATTGGCGGCCTCTGTCTTTTTTAGTGAAGAACTGCACACCAGCTCCGAATATCGAGACACTTAGTGAATATCGACTGGGTCAGGGTACTTGTGTTAATATAAAGTACTGCCTTAGTTATGAAGGGTTTAAGAGAAACGCTCGTTAATTAAAGAGCGTTACAAACGTAATTGTTTAGAATGTATTTAATTAAAATGTCAATAATATTAATAATACTTTGCTTACAATTTGTGTCATTTTAATTATATATCAAACTTACTATGCACGTTAAAATACAATTTAGGCTAAATAATTAAATACTTTATCACAAAGGGGCTTAAAAGCGTGGTGTAAGAATATATTAATAATTTTTACCTAAACACAACAACACTGAATGAAGATCATGAAGATGTTTCGTCACTAGTGAGGGACTTCTTCAGTTCTCCGTGGTGATGGGAAATTCCTCCCGTTTAATCGCAGTGTGTGACTCACACCTTTGGAATCGTGAGAGTGACCTGACACCGGGGTCCAGATGTGAATCGGAGAGAAACCACTGGGGTAAAAATGTAAGGACGACGTTGTAGGTAGGTGATAGGTGCTGTTGCAGACCATCCCCTTTTTCTCACAGATACTTCTCCTCAGTTATGAATTAAATTGACTAATTTAATGTATCCCTGGGCTTAAATTGTGGGTAGACACCTAGGCCCTGTCTCGAAGAAGCAATTGATAGCTAACGTTACATACGTTTGTCTGCTCAAATCCATCAGCAGTCTTACAAGTGAACTCTCTAATTTTGTTATTCTAACTGCTAAAATTAGCCCGGACTTTGTTTTTGCTGGCTATGGTTAACTTGGTGGTGATAAACGAGGCTGTAACATCTGATGCCAGCTAGCTAAGATTAGATCCCAAACTAGAGGAAATTCACACAACATTGCTGCCTAACAATAAACGACCAAATCAACGCTTATTGCTACAAGGGGTTAGAAAACAAGCAACCTGACTACACTGTAAAATATTTACTGTACAACTTACAGCAATTTACTGGCAGCAGAATTGCCAGTAAATTACTTTAAATTTACAGTAAATAACTGTAAAATATATTTACGGTAAAGTACTGTAATATCTTCCATAGTATAAATGAACACATAATCCAGTACTTTTGCTCATTTGGCAGATGCTTTACAATGAGAAAGCGACTTGAGGCAGGAAACAGCTAAACAGAAGGTTGAGGGTCTTGCCCAAAGACACACCCGTGACAGCTTGGCGGTGGTGGGATTGAACACACGACCTTCTGGTCTGTAGCACAAAACCTTAACCACTGAGCCACCACAGCTAATTCAGCTACTTTGCACTGATTCAACCGCCTCCACTGACTCTCACTAAAAGAGAACTTTCAGTGCTTTACTAAACCAAAGTGTTTACTAGTATATAAAGTTCGACTCAAACAGGCTTTGTATTCGCCTAAAATAGTTGCTAAAATAAAGGGCACAAAAATAATCCACTAATTTGCAAATCTCACCCCTGCTAAAAACGTCAGATACCCCAATATGCATTGCGTTTCTGATATTTTATTGTAAACCAGTGCCTTGCTGTAATTGTCTAATCGTTTACAGTACAATCCTGTAAAATAAAAAACAGTGTTTTGCTGTAAAACAAATAGTGTAAATTTACAGTTTTTTATAGTGTAGCTAACCACTGGTTAGCTAGTAGTTCTAGAAAAAAGACTAGTGTTAGCTGTCCAATAAGCTATATATTGGAACCAAGTTATGCCACATGTTAAAACTGAAAACATAAAGGGGAAATAAGGTATTCCAGCTTACAGTATCTCTCAGCCTTTAACATTTGCTTTGCCTCAGTTTTACCCAAATGATAACATGTTAACATTGTAAATGTTAAGATAACATGAAATAACCCAGCAAATCTATCTATCTATCTATCTATCTATCTATCTATCTATCTATCTATCTATCTATCTATCTCGCAGGTTAAACACTCTAAAATTCTGGGCTATTTACATGACCTAATTGCTTTTAAGATTTAGGACCTAAGATAAGGACCTTTATTTTTAGACTTGCTTTTCTCTCGAAGCCAGCTGTCGTTCTTTGGATGTGTCACGTGTTATTTTCGGTTATTTAGGCTAATATGTGTGTCTACAGGTAGATAAGGCAAGCACGGGCATTTTAAAAGACAGTGACAGTTCATATACTGAATCAAATGTCATCTTTTTCATTTACTGATTTTTGTTTAACCAGGTGGGTTTGCAGACTCTAATAATGAGTGATTTGGGTCTGATAAGAAATAACTAGATTTTTTATGCCAATGATACAGACGCATGCAAATACCTAAACAAATCGTCGACTGGGATTGTATTTAAGCTTTTGTTTGCGCGTCAGAACTGTTTTATAAAACAATACAGCCCAGAGATTATCTAACGGTGAGTGAGCATTACATTGAACAGCCTACACCAGTTGCCTAGTGGTGTTCTTTATTCGTAAAGTTAAAATAATTTTATTCACATTCCTGGCTACTTAAGCCAGGCACTATTCAATTAGGGTATAAAACACCCATGACCCATCGTAATAGACACAGCATGAATGTGGATTACTGTAAAAAATCTGAGATAAATTGATATCAGGGAGTACAGATCTTTTCATTTGTTGGCACTCGTGTGGTATCAGGAATGTCGAGCACAGCTCTCTCAAGTTCATGTCCATCTCCCTTCCCCCATGTAACGCATCAGTCTCACCCCAAACCCCCTCCATGTATTACCCTCTACTTTAGCTTCGTCTGCCTGTCGGACTGGCTTTTGTTACGGACTTTGCAGTTGAACTTGAGACATCTTGTAAACAATAAGTAGTCTGGCCCCTGTCTGGACAGAGGTGGCCAGCGGGATCAAGCAGCATACGTAGGAAGAGAAGAAAAGGTTTTACGCGGAAGGCCCCCAACGACGTGTCGAGAAAAGTCTGCCCACAGCCAGAGCTGACCTTACTGACACAAGAATGTGGTTCCTTTACAGTTACGGTAGAGTTTATAGCATCACCGAAAATGCACTTATGAGGCTTCGAGGTTCTATTATCTATGTTCTTCATTGTAGTTTGCAGTTTTTAACTCTTGCTGAGCGTGAAACCAGTGTGAAACGCTTTTTAAATAGACAGAACAAAAAAGGTAGAGGTTATATATGCAGTTCATAATGGAATTATTTAATATTTTCCTAAACAATAAAAAGACGACATAAAGGCATTTATATATTAACTTAACCAGTTATTTAGCATATTTAGCATATTTTATGCATGCTGTCTTACATTTGTACTAACACGTTGAGTAACACTACACTGATGACGCAATCGTTAACTCTTCGATTCAGGACGTGTTCAATTTTGTTTCTCAAGCACTGATGTCAGTTGGGAGCTATTTACAAGCATCTCTTTATATTCCTTATGCATTAATATAGCTGGCTGTACATTCAGTCAATTACGGTTAAGAGCATTTTAAATATATTGTCTTAGAATTGACGTAACCTATTGATTTAATCAAA